GAAAAAACATTTTCCCAACGTTATCATTATAGTATTATTTGTAAAGCAAAATATAATAAATATTGTGTATTTGTATTGATATTTATATACTGACATAAATCAATGATGATGGAGAAACCCTACATTTGAATAAAAATAAAATCAAACCTAATTGGCTATCAAATCAAAAACATAGACAGAAAAGAAGACTAATTAAAGTCACTTTTAAACATAGTATTCTGACCATGCAACTTCTTATTTAAGGAAAAAAGGGTACTGGAAATGAATATTAAATTTTACTTCTTAAGTTTGCTACTGTTAGTGGTTCTATTGTAGGAATTTCAAAATTATTTTGCATGCAGGTTGAAGACACAAATACGGAAGAGGAAGAGGAAGAGCATCCATGGATGCTAGATTTTAATTTGCGGTATCCTATCAGTGTCAACTCATGATTTTAAAAAGGTCTAGGAAGCCATGGTGCTCTAGTGGCAATAAGCAAATGTGGTGCCCAGGTCGGGGCTTCCAAAGATCATTCGTCAATGTAGAAACCAGGGCTCCCTGGAGAATGGCAGGCCCCTAGTCTAGGGTAGGAAAGTGCAAGGTGGGCCTGGAACATCTTGCAGTATCCAAGAGTCAAAAAGTGTTTCCAAAGGCACAGGCACACATGGGACAAAGGACCTTTGTTGACATCTGTGGCAAATATGCTGACTTGTGGTCCATTTTGTGTTTGGCTACCTGGCCTTGATCATTTCCCCTTATCATTCCTCCCAAACTTATCTTGGCCTTACATTCAGCAGAATTCCAAGACCCAGAAAAGAGTTTTACATCAATTTGCTTCACATTTCATGCCTGCTTGGTTTAAACTTCCCCTTCGCTACCCTGTCCTCCTGCTGGCTATGTTCTCCACCTTGGATTCAAATAAAAGCAAGTTCACCAGGCCAGCTCCCCTCTCTCTCCATGTACTCCCTAACTTCCACGTGTGTGGCCTACAGGCATCCGTTACCCCGACAGGATCTGTAAGTATAAAACCTTTATTTCCATCTTGTGTCTCTCCCAATCATTGAAGGGGACTCTGTTATCTTAAAGGTCCTAAATTAAGGGACCAACTTGAAGATCCCAACAGTGAAAGGTGATACAACATGAACATCAAAAATAATAATTAGTTACAGACTACAACTACAACATATCAATAAAAGAAGAAAGTGTTAGAAGGTGGCATGGGTTAGACCTTTAAAGATGGGTAACATTTAGGTACATGGAGAATAAATAAAATTTAGTCAGTATGAAACAAATCAACCAAAAAAATGACAGAGAAGGTCTGGGGAGGGAGGCGAGTCCAGCTGGAGCAGCAGGTTCCAATGGGGATCAGTAAAATTCGGTAGTCTGAGGCTATGAAACTTAGAGTCTGAAACTTAGAGTTTAGGCGGCAATGAGAGTCACCCTAAGATCTGGACAGAGGAGTTTCAAGAGGAAATGATGAAACTGTGTTTCTGGGAGTTTACTCTGACAGCTATGAGGGAGAAGGAAAAGAGGAAGGATAGATGGGATCAATGATGAATCTTTGCAGTGGCAGAGGAGTGAGGTGGTGGGAGGCTGAGAAGGTACTGGGAATGGATAAGAAATAAAAATTAATGAAATTTAAAAAATAAAGCACTTAAGAGGATGAACAGAATTTATCTCCTTCATAAAGGAGAAGAGAGAGTCAATGACTGAGTTTCCGTGCTGAAGAGTAGGAGGAAAATGATTGTGTGACCTCAATATGGAAGGAAGAATGTGTTAGTGTGTTTGTCCCAATTACTGGGACCAAATATCTGAGGAAGACAACTTAGCAGGGAGATTCATTTTGGTTCACTGTTTCAGTCTATGGAGGGCAGACTCTGAGGCAGGAACATCATGGTGGAAGGGTGTGGCAGAGGGAAGTTGCTCAGCTCATGGAAACCACAAAGTGAAGAGAGAGAGAAATAGGATGAGCTGGGCACCAGCTATACCCCTCCAGGGCACACTCCCAGTGACTGCTGCCTCCAACTTGGCCCCACCTCCTGCAGTTACTACCACCTCCCAGTAATGCCATCAACTTATGAAGCTATCAATGGATTAATCCGCTGATGAGGTCAGTGCTCTCATGATCAAATCGCTTCCCAAGAGCCCCACATCTGAACACTGCTGCACTGGAGACCAAACCTTCAACACATGAGACTTTGGGGGATATTCCAGATCCAACCCCAAACACAAAGCATCAGTTTTTCAGTACAGTTTGGTAGGTTTTGAATATATTGACAGGGAGCCAACAACATTTGATATTTACAAAGCTCAAAACTTTTAAGGGAAAAGCCCAATTTGGGAGTGTTGCTGATTCTTTCCTTCAATCATTTTGATCTCTTACAGAGCTCAGGGAAATGGAGGGCTCCAGTGTCTTCCCGAAGCTTCCTCCAATGATTGCTTGTCATGAGGATTTCATGGTGCTCCCCAGATAATGCCCAGAATCTTCTCCTTGCAGAATCCCAGTGGGTTACTCTGAGGGAGCAGAACATCAACTCCCAGTTGGACCAGAAAAGAATTTTCAAGACATAATTCAGGGACAGGCCCCCACATACGGAATTTCTTTCATCCCCTGCAGTGAAGTCTGACTGAGGGGCCTCTGTGGTTTGTGGCTGTCTGACTCCCCCAGTCTCTGCGGCCCTCCTGCCCGCCTGCCCCTCTTGCCTGACTAGGGGAAGCAGGTCCCGAGCATCCAGCAGGCTTCCCGGGCAGCCTTCCTCCCCCGTACTCTTGGCATTCATATGGCATGGCTATAAATTATGCCCAGCGTGTTCATTTTCAGTTTAAATGTGTTCTCATCCCAGAGGAGCGACTAATGGCGTCAAGTTACTGATGTGAAAAAAGCATGCCGCTACAATGACTATGGATTAATGAAATAGCAGTCGCGGAGGCTGGGGTTGCAATAAATCGTCAGCCACTGGTGACATGGATTTTAAATTATGTTCCCTGTCCCTTCTCCCTTCTCCCAAATTATTTTGCTGTAAAGTTGTTGGGTAAATGTTTACCTTTACTTAATGTTGGCTTTGTAATAAAAGTTGAGGCAAACAGAGCCCTTTCCTCTTAGAAAACTGCAAACCAGCTGAGAGGGATTTAAAAGTCTATCATACTTTCTCTAGGAGGCATGAAGGCAAATCTCTTAATCCAGGATCATCAGTGACTGATAAATTTCATTCAGAGAACTGGCAAACACAGCATTCTATCGGTAAACTCTGCCCATTTGGCATGGAAGCTACTGCACCTTTACCTTCTCTTAGGGCCTGCTATTCCCCTAATGAATTAAAAAATGAGTCTCCAGCACAATTCCCACCAGTGTTTTTGGAAATGTGGCAAGTCTATTTTTCATTCGATAAAGGACCCCAGGGAGTCCACTGATGAGACATATAGGGATTATGAGAATCCCTGATCCTAAAAGCAAATTGTTCCTATGTTTTTCTAGAAAGATGACCTATAGATTTCATCAAATTCACTAAATGTGCCGTAACACCTAAAGAGTTTAAGGATCAACGTGGTAAATTGCACAATTTCTTTCCCTGCATGTATCCATGTCCTTGCAGTGGGACTTTGTAGCTTCTCCTATTGAGAACAGGAGTGTTTTTCCATCCTTTGATTTGGGGCTGGCCTTCAGATTGGTTTTGGCTCATGGGATTTTGGCAAATGTGACAGAAACAGGTTAGAAATGCATTTATACATTAGGGTTTGCCTATTTATTGTTCCTGGAACTCTCCTGCCATGTGAACAAGGCTGGGTTCCCCTGATGAGCTACCTGCCTAGTCACCCCAGAGCTCCCAGCTCACTCACGGGCAGCTGCAGACAATGTGAACTTATCCATGACCAGTGGCATCTGGACCAAACCTGAACTGTCAAGCTCAACTAGAATTATGAGATAAATAAACACTGCTTTGAGCCACTAAGTTCTGGGGTAGTTTGTTGTGCAGTAAATGATAATGGGTAAGAATTCTATACCAGACAGTGTGTTTTCAGGATGGGGGCATGTCTGCTTTGGTCCACGCGTTCCCTTTTCCTAAAAACACAGGAGCCATTCAGTACATATTTGTTGAATTGGGTGGAACTAGTCTCCCCAAGACGGAGAGTAAGCCCCTTTCTCAAGGTCACTAGGTTAATCAGGAGGGACTTCAGAACACCTGACTGTGAGCCTCAGTTTCCTTGCTTATAAAATAGGCTTCTGTTGTGCTGTTTTGGTTATTAAATACACTGTATGCCCTGGAGATGTGCTTCTGAAGCAAAAGCAAGCTTATGAAGAGGCCTTAGAGCTTATTAGCACACAGAATATCTTGCACATTTCACTGTCTCTGTAGCTGCCCAGTGTAGGACAGGAAGACTTCAGTGTCCATTTCTCAGCTTTATCTGCTACAAAGTAAGGTCTGTTCCTTCAAGCCCCAGCAGACATCATTCTGAGTGTGTTTTCTTGCCGCTGCATGGCAGCCACAGGGCCAGAGGACTTGCCACTCCCTCCTGTGAGTTAGGGAGGGCACCCAAATAGGACCCAGGAGTGTGGATTGCTGCTCTGGATCCTGCCATCACTGCTGCGTCTTGCTTCCTCACTTGTGGAATAAGGCATGGCTGACGGCATCCCTCTCGGAATCCTTTCAGCTATAGGCATCCAAGGGCTCCAGCACTACCAGTCTCATCTAGGCATGAGGGACGATTGCTCCCAGGATCAGTAAGCAGTAAAAAAACTGTTTTAACAAGCAAAAGAAAAGCTTTGTTGTTGTTGTTGTTGTTGTTGAAAAAGCAGGCCAAAGAGTTGGGAAATAGAAAAGAGGGAAAAAGAGAACAAGTCTCGTTTGAGTGGGGATTCTAGAACCTTCCTTCCTACAGGATAGTGGAGCTTTGTCCTTACATCAAACCATGGATTTGGGGAATTAAAAGAAAAGAAAATTTTAAGGAGAAAAAAAAAGATGACACACCCAAAGAATTATAAAAAGCTCATGAGAAAGATTCACACAAAGCACCGTGAGACATTCAGATACACTTTTTTTGTATTTTTGGCAGTAAGACTTCCTATCCTTCTTAGTAACATCTAAAATGACTTCTTTCTAGGATTGAAGATAAACATTCTTGTGTTCAAGTTGTAGTTGGAAACAGTGTACACAAACATCACTTATCACAAAGAGTAAAGACAACAGTCTCTGAATTCTGCTTCTAGACAAAGCAATCTAGAACACAAAGAGCAAAGCCAGAGGCACCACAAAACCTAATTTCAAGACATATTACAGAGGCACAGTGACCAAGCATCATGGAGCTAGCATAAAAACAGATACACAAATGAGTGGAACACAACAGAGATTCCAGACATAAACCCAAACATCTCTAACCAACTGATTCTCAATGAAGGCGCCAAAAACCCACATTAAAAAAGAACAGCCTTTTCATCAAATGGTGCTGGGGAAACTGGAGATCTAGATGGAAATTGAAACTAGATCCTTCTGTCTCATCCTTCATGGAAATCAACTCCAACTTAATGTAGGACCTGAAAGGACATTGGGATTGGCAATGATTTTTACAGACACTGGTATAGGGAGTGAGTTTTTGAATATAACCCCAAAAGTTTACAGGAAAAAAACACAAAGAGATAAATGGAATTACATCAACATAAAAATTGTACAGTAAAAGATACAATCAGATAGATTAGAAAACCTACAGAATGGGAGAAAATATTTGCCACTGTCCATCTGACAAAGGATTAATATCCAGAATAGAGAAGAAACTTAAAAAAAACTATTAAAAATGAATAATACAATTTAAAAATGGGTAAATAATATGAATAGGACCATCTTTTATGGCCAAGAAAGGTGGGGAAAAATGTTCAAAATCATTAGTCATCAGGGAAATGCAAATCAAAACTACAATAAGATTCCATCTCACCCTTGTTAAAATGGCTATTATAAAAACAAAAACAAAAGGGGCTGGCAAAGATGTTAAGAAAAAGGAATCTTTATACACTGTAGGTGGGAATGTGAGTCAGTAAAACCACTGTGGAAAACAGTGTGGAGATTCCTTATAAAACTAATAATATATCTATGATATGACCCAGTTATCCTACTTCTGGGTATATATCAAAAGGAAAATGAAATCAGCGAACAAAACATACCTGCATGCTCATGTTCATTGTGGTGCTATTCACAATAGCTAAGATATGGAATCAGCCTAGGGGGTCCATCAACAGAAAAAAAATAAAGAAAATGGAGTATACATACACAGTGGAGTATTAGCCAGTCATCAAGAAGAATGAAATCTTATCATTTGCAGGAAAATGAATAGAAGTGGAGGGCATTATGTTAAGTGGAATAAGTTAAAAGACAAATATCACATTTTCTTTCATATGTGGAAGTTAATTAAAAAAAAGTTCAACTAGAATGTAGAATAGTGATTTCTAGAGGCTAGAAACTAGGTAGGGGTGAGGAGTTATATTTGATCACTGCATACTGTATGCACATATTGAAATATCATACTGCACCCCATTAATATAGATAATACATGTTAATAAAAAAATAACATAAAATAAGGGCTCAGGGTATAATGTTTGCCTAGCATATGCAAGGCTCTGGATGCAGTCCCCAGCACTGCAAAACCAATAAGTAACCTAACATAAAGCAATAGTAAAATCCTGCCTCTTGCCAAAATGGAAATTAAGTTTGTGCTTGGAAGCAAGTATGAAAATGGTGATATTTATTCAATCATGTTCACATACATTCAAAGAGAAAGTTGGAAATTATTCTGTCATGCCTTTAATCAGATTTTCTATCTTGAACATTGAGATCTTAAACATTAAAATCACCAATGAGTAAACAAAGAAAAAAAGTTACCAGATAGCATTTTAACTAACTTTTTTTGTATTTATTATAACCGTGCTTCTCTACAACTAGGGATTCTATGGTTGACAAACCATGTGTCTGCCTTTATTTACCTACATAAACACAAAACAGCATTTTTAACAAGGAAGATTCACACAGCAAACAAAGTACAAATTGGTGTGACCTCAATAAGGCATCTGATAAGGTTACAAGCCATCTCTCTCCAGCTGGGCTTCCTTAAGATGCTCTTATGTTGGCATCACATTCTTCTAAGAGTAGAATCAAATCTTCAATCAGGCTGTGTTCTCTGCCATGTGTCACTCGCATGATATCAAAAGCCTAAAGAGGAAGGAGAGAAGACAGATCAGACCTCCAAAGAGGTGAGCCCCTGCCACTCCCCCTCCCTTCCCAAAGATGCTAAGGGTCCAGTGACCCTGCAGGTCTACACAGTGAGCAGTCTCTAACAGGACTGCAGCACTGTGGTTCCCTGAGTCAGCACATAAGTGACAAGGCTGGTGTCTGAATGTAGAGTTTGGAAAGTAGACTTACTTCTCAAGCCATGCCAGGGCCCAGTGATTAACAACCATCTTCAGGGGCTGTTACAGTGCACAGGTTTAGGTGGCTACTTTTAGAGGTTTAACCATTGACTACTCAAACAAATAAGTCACATGAAAGAAAAAATACCTCCTCACAATATTTTTACTCTTTTGTATTCTGCATTCAATTCTTATCTATGTGGACTGTGATTATTATCTACATATATTCTTCTGTTCTTTTCATATCATATGACACTACAGCATTGGCATTTCAATGAGCCCATCCTTCACTTTCCATGGTTAGTCCATTACTAAATCTTGTCAATTCTACCTCCAAAATATTTCCGCAGTTGTGGAGAGCTTGTGACTGAATACTTCAGTAAGAGAATACAGTGGAAGGAAAGCTACTGGCTTAAAAGGCCATAAAGCCTCTGCCTTGTTCACTAGCGTATCTGTTCCTGGAACCAGGAGCCTCCATGCTGTGAGGAAGCCCAAGTCATATGGAGAAACCATGTGTAGGTGGCTCTTGGTGACAGTCCCAGCTGAGCCCATCCTTCAAGCCACCCTAACCAAGGCATGAGAAGTGTCATAAAGAAACTTATTGGTAATTTCAGTGCCCAACCAGAAGTCAGGCTGATGAAACTCCATCAGTGAATCCTTCTAGATGAAGCACCAGACATTGTAGACAAGAAGAATGCCATTCTGTTATGCTTTGTTCAGATTTCTAACCCACAGAATCTGTAAAAATAATTTTATTGTTTTACTCTACTCCGTTTATTATGGAGCAATAAATAACCAGAATACCTTCAATATTCTTTTTTTGAGATAAATAAGAGATTTTTAAAAAAATATTTTTAATGGTAGATGCACACAATATCTATATTTTTATTTATTTATTTTTACGTGATGCTGAGGATCAAACCCAGTGCCTCACATATTTGAGGCAAGCGCTCTACCACTGAGCTACAACCGCAGCCCCAGTAAATGAGAGTTTAAGCAGTATTGTCTTAGATTGCCCAAATCATAGGCGGGGTGGGCTGGGGGTGGGGGAGTGAGGGATTCCAAGAGTCACTGTATCCTGTGGGAATGTGTTCTGGAGACCTGTACAGATGTGGCTCTGGCGACTGTTAAACATCCAGCAAAGTACCCTGGCACATAGTCCTAAGACTCTCACCCTTGGCTGTACAGACCAGCACCCAGACCACCCATGTGATCTCCTGAAATTGCTCTCTGGGAGCTGGGCCTCAGCTCCAGGAGACTCTAGCATGCCCTATCAGCTGAGAACAATTAAAAGAGTAATTGTCAACAAATAATAACTACTCTTCATTACTCAATGTTAATTTATAGTCAGCATAATTATAATTTTAATGGTTGTATACAATTAATTCCATCAGGTTTATAAACCATTATTTATTAAACTACTCTCAGAAATTTAGATCACTTTTAATTTTTTATTATAATATGATACGTATCTTTTAGCCTGACTTTTGTTTGTTTTGCTTTGCTAAATATTTGCTTAAGATAAATTCCTAGCAGTGTAATTCTTGGGTATGAACATCTTGGAAGTCATTTGAGACCTGGAGGCTGGAAAACACCTTGCTGGTCATACAGTTGAGACCCCTTCATTGAGACAAAGGAGAAAAACTGAAGCTGGAAGAAGCAAAGCATTCAGGTGGACTGGGGCTTTCAGCCTGTGTTCCTGGCTTTTTTTGATGGGGAGGGCAGGTACTGGGGATTGAACCCAGGGGCACTTGACCACGGAACCACATCCCTAGCCCTATTTTGTATTTTATTTAGAGACAGGGTCTCACTGAGTTGCTTAGCACCTTGTCTTTGCTGAGGCTGGCTTTGAACTCACAATCCTCCTGCCTCAGCCTCCCAAGCTGCTGAGATTGTAGGTGAGCACCCTGGCGCCCAGCCCCTGCCTTCTTTTTTGCTTCCTTAAAAATGTTCCCTTTAGCCTGGGAGAAAGGAAAACAAATGTCTAGTGGTAAGAAGGGGGAGACTATATTTAGCTACTGAGAAAACAAAAGAAAAGAAAGAAAGGAAGGAAGGAAGAAAAAACCAAAGGGGAAGAGGGAAAAATGGTGGGGTCTGCCAGCCCGGAAGAGAGCTGTCTCCTGGAACCCAGCTGAACACTGGGGTCAGACTCACAGGAGGCCAGGGCTGGACTTCCTTGTTACCTCCAGTGGGTCTGCCCTGCAGGTGCCCAGTAAAGGCAAATCAGTCTGGAGGTGGTGGTAGTCTGGAGTGGGAGGGAGGAGTTGGGAGGTGCCCCCACCTTGCAGGCTGAGACTGCTCTGGGCAGATTAAAAACAAATGTCTGCTGCCATTCTGGGAGCACATGCCTCATGTTTTATTCTCTTTTCCCCACACTGCCTTGGGTACTTCACTGTTCAGGACATCCTAAGGTCTGAGGCAGAGGCCTGTGTGTCAACGTGAGTGTAGAGAGGTTTCTGCATCAGAGATCCTTCAGGCGAATTTTACTTGAAAGCTTCCTTGTAAGTTCTCTTCCCTTCTATTCGACAGAGCCAGATGTGCTTGTGATCTGCAAAGGAGGATAAATGGACTGGAAGCACTGCCTGAAAGGCGCTTTGCAGAAAGGGACACCCCTGTCACCCTGAAAAGCCAGTCCCTGCCGCCAGCACTGGCGCCCTCTGCTGGCAAGTGCCTGGCCTGTGTTCTCTGGAGACACCCCAGCCAGCTGGGGCTTTGCCTCTGGGTTACATTTCTCCAGGTTCTCTGCTCTTCTTTATGATTTGACTTACAGCTGAACAACAAAGCTATCTTCTTGTCACCTGACAGTGTAAGGTTGGTCTGCAGGTTTTTGAACATATTTCTGGTGCCAATCCTCCTTCCTTGGCACGGTTCCTGCAGTTCCAGGAGTAAGTTTCACTCCCCAACCCCCACACTCTTCTGCTTTGAAAATCAGGTCTGCTCTCCAGGGTCAGAGTTCATTGCCATGGATCTGGAGTCTTTCTGAAGCCAGATTTAAAATTAGGTAGTCAGTATAGTTAGGTAAATTGGGTTTAATATCGAGTGAAATCTAAAATGGAGGCCATGTTGAGAATGAATTCTTGGAAAAGTTGAGCAACTCTTGAAATGTTAATGAAGTCCAGGAAACAGCCCCCAGCAGATTTGAAGATAGCCCATCCCAAAGAAATGTTAATGAACAGCAAACTTGAAGATGCTGACTGGGAAGTGCCCAGATTACTTCTTTGGCCCACCTGTGTCCCAACCCTTCTGACCTTCCCACCTACATTCCATCACCTAAAACTATAAAATGGAGAGACAACCGCACTTTCACAGATTCCATCTCTTGGGTCCCCTTCTTCCTCCGGGAGAAGTCTTTTCTGCTGTCCTTTAATAAACTTCTAATTTTCCACTCTGACCTTGCCTCGGCGTGCTTCTCTGGTGTTATTCTTCAACACTGGAGAAGCAAGGACTCGTCACCTGTCAACAGCGGTAACATTTCCACTCACTGAAGGGGCAGACCTGCCTGTCTGACAGCAGGGTAAGTGGCCCAGTGTTAGCAAGAAGCCTGGAGCCCTAAAGCCACTCTGGAATTATAGAGCCCCCAAGTCAGATGGGGAAGCTGCCCTCACCCTTCACCCCTCAGGCTGCTTGGTTTAGGCGGGGTCATGGAGATCATCTTCTCCAGCCCCCTCAAGTTACCAAAGGAACTGCACCTGAGGTTGCCTGGCCTGAGAGGTCTCAGGACCAGCCAGCGTCCATTCCATGACCACACTATGCAGCCTCCATTGTGAACAGTTTACAGTGATCAAGGGAAGGAACCCTGGGACTCCTACATGTGGTTTCTGTGAAGAGCCACAGGGGTATTCTTAGTCAAAATGCTGCTGGGCATGCTCTGTGTTCTCTTATTTGATGGTGGCTGTAACACTGGAAGTGGAGGTAGGGCAGGGGCAGTCCCTGTGCACATTTGTATAAGCGTGAGATGCAAGTGGTGAGATTAAGTTTGAGGATCTTGTCTACCAGGTGTCTAGAAACAGAGAGGAAATGGGTGTAGGAAGGGCAGAGAGCTGAAGAGGCTGAAAAAATATCTGTTATCATTTGCCTGGAAAACAAAACTAAATGTAGGTATGATTAATAAATATTGTGTTTTTCTCTGAGTGATGGGCAGAAGAAGAAAGGAAATTCAGTAATGTGCAGCTAGGACAGTGGCTCTCCTGTGTGCATGTATGAATGATGAGACACGCTGGGCAGACAGGAAGCTGCAGCTCAGACCTGTGACTGAGGAGGACATCTGGTCCTTATCCTGAACAGCACCTACCATTGAGTTGGGGAAAACAGCTCATGTGAGACAATAAGAAAGCCCCATGTGGCCCTGGGCATAGCTCTTCAGCCCATCCAGAAGATAAGGAGTGCTTCCTCTCCCCCTGCCCCCAAACATTACATTTCAATGAATCTCTGACAAACCAGCACAATTGCTCCCAGTAGCTCTAGTCTCCCTTCTCTCAGTGCCTCCCAAATGCCACACATGCACATGTCAGAGAGGCCAATTTTGGTTTAATTTCCTGCAGCAGCATATAAAATAGATTAAGGAAATATAAAATCACAATGTGCATGTGTTGGGATAAACTTATCTCTTTCCATTAAATTTTATTTTTTAATGGTAGCCTTTAAGAGCCTGCATATAATCTTTCACAGAAGACTCATCTGAAGCCTCCAAAGAGGGGAGGTGCTGCACCCATGTATAGATTCTAAATGTCACAGGAGAAATGGCAGCATAGATTCTTGTCTGCCATATGACAGGCACATGGTTCACTAAGGAATAAAGAAAGG